AATGGAAACGTCAGCTCAACTCATATCATTGTGGGAAAATTCTACTACCAGTCCTTCATCACCTTAGATGTAATTATTAGCCAAAATGGGAGCCAAACATGATCCCATTGCAAGGCCTTGCACCTGTTTATAAACTTTATCATTAAAGGTGAAGCAGGTGCTGCTCATGGATAGATTAAGAAGCCTTAAGATTGAGCCTTTGCTCAGATTTCCCTCCCCAATAATTTCTGGGTTGAGTGTAAGTGCCTCAATAGCTTTATGATCTGGGATGTTATTATACATTGATACAACATCAAAATTAACCAAAAGATCCTCCTCTTTAATAATCCGCTGATCTATTAAGCTGGCAAATTCATATGAATTCTTCACTGAATATTTCCAATACTCAGCCACTCTCCTTAAGTGTCTACATAAGAAACGTAAAGTGAATGGTATTAAACTAGTCGTTTTGGTGATTATGGTATCTTTGCGGCTAAACGTAAAAATAACAGAAGTCATAGAAATAAACCGAATCGGAAATACCTTGAATGTAAGGAATACCGGCAAGAGGATGAGTAAAAAATATTTGTGCTTAATTGATAGAGAGGGAGTTGAGCTGTCTGCAAAGAGGAGGCGACTCAACTAGTCTTTTTTGCTGTCCTACTTACTTTGAGCCATCACTTTGGGTTTCGAGCATAAGCGAACAGATACAAATACCGAGACAGACACACTCACATGCATCGAAGTTGACATGTGACCTTAACTAACCAAATCACTTAACATTTGATCAAAGAGGCCAGATGTAGAGTAGATATACCATTTTTTAGGGATTTGCCGGTGAATTTTCTTGACTCGTTAGCTTGAATTGTGTTGTGACGATAATACCCTCCTCGCTCTGATGATGTCCGTCATATGAGGGACGAAAGCTTAGCACCTTTTCACCGAAATCGAAGCAGATTGCCTCGGAAACAGCATCAGCATGAATCTTTCAGTAAAGCCAATCGACAACTGGTCAAGGGGAATCCAGCGTCGTCTTCTGGTGGGACCGAACTTCGAATCTCTTCACCCAACACTTTCACTCGAAATGGGAGTAAGTTCAATAATCAGTATTATGAGATGTATTCACCCTATTTCGTTTGAGGTGATGAAGGACTGGTAGTAGAATTTTCCCAAAATTATCTGAGTAGAGTTGATGTTTCCATTGAATTTCACATAGCCTTGCTTTCCCAAAAGTTGTTTTCATCCAGGCACCAGTGGACTACCGTTTCGACCGCGCCAGTCCTTCATGACCATAAACAAAATTGGGTGAATACATTTCATATTACTGATTTACTGGTAGTCTCGAAGCAGTACTTAAAATGCGAAAAATAATATAACGTAGTTCATTGTTATAGCAAATATACGTTTGCTTCATCGACAATCACACTAATGAATATGATGTGACAAAAGGCCTGGCCTTCCTTGAAATTCAAATCTACCCTGTGACCCAAGGGCACTTGTGGCAATGTGGTCGAGTGGTTAACGTGTCAAGCTCCCATTCTGCACTTTCACGGTTCGACTCCTGCTGGGGGTGTTGATAAGACCGATGCGAGGTCGAAACTGCAGTCCATCGGTGCCCGGATGAGAACAAC